AGTTTACTGATCCAACTAATCAATCGATGAGAGTTAAGATATATGGAGTAATTTAAAGCCCTCCTGCGTGGGTTTTCTTCAACATCAAAAATCTATCTCGTTATCAGACATGCAGGTTAACATGTTGTAATGGAGTGCACATAACATCTACCTCTATTAGAACTCCATGTTAACATAATGCTGTAATGGAATGCACATAATATCTACCTCTATTAGAAAATATTCGTGATGACGATGCTTTTGCATCCAAAATGAAGCTTATGGAAACAAAGATCTGTCGAGATTAAATTTTTGTAATAAATGGTTCGCGATATCAGTAAAAGCTTGTCATTTGGCAGGTTCTATGTTTATTAGACTTCAAGCCAATCCTCTTGATTCCAATGAGCTTGACAGTGCCGTTAGTTTGTGTTAAAATTAGCGGAGGTTGCATACCATTGGTCCCTAGGATGAACTATGGACGGGATCTTTGCTCGTAGACGCAACCCACCAGCTTGTTGTAACTTATAGCGCAACTCTACAAGACTGCAGACAACAACACCGATCGTCGAGAACTAACTACTAGAGATCAGATTCTATAGGATTCCACGTTCTATGACCAAGAACAAGGCCGGATGCTCTGGACAGAATAGCTGGGATACTTAGAGACTGTATACTTTGCTCTAGAATATGCAACTGGTCATATCTGAACCGATATTATCTTGGATAAAAGGTATGGAGATCATGGGATTATGCAATTCAAACTTATTTTTCACCCCCCGAGACCTTAACTACAACACGTATCAAGTTATCATCTAACCAACACAGCTCCTCATATATAATTTTCCTTCTCACTATGCCCCAGAAAATTTCAATTACACCGGGCTCAATGTTCCAGTCTAACCCCTCTGACAAAGTAGTGCTAGCCTCATTATGGTTTTCACTTGTGACTTTAGCAATCTCAAAATATATTAATGGTTCTTTAAAGAAAATAATATAGGGTATACAATGTGTTGATGTCCTGGGATTCAGCAGCGAGATTAGTAGATAATCCCGAGTTAGTGATGGGGCTTGGGGTTGAAACAGACGATGTGGGTTCCCTGATCCCCTTAGGCGACTGATCCCCTGTTTTAAGATAATAGAGCTGAAAAATGAACATGTTAGAGGAGCGGAGTAGGTTCTGTTGGGATTGTGTATTTGATTCTTTGTATAACTTTATGAGAATTAGATAGGGTTAGAGATCTATCATGATTAGGAGCTTGGGTCTCATCATGATTAGGAGTTTGAATCCTATTCTAATGAGGATGTTAGGCTAGAGATATGATTTTGGTTTCCCTATATATATTCTTCTATTGTTTGAGGAAAAATCAAGGAGAGAAGAGAGAGCCAATATTCTTGTAATCTAGAGTTAGCAGAGGGCATAGTCTGATTCAAGAATATTGTGCGAGAGGCGAGGGTTTCGTAGTCTTTATCCGTGCAAAATATTACATCATTGGGAGAAGGTTTCGGAGTCTTTGTCCGTTCAAAAGATTGTAAGGAGATGGCTTTTGAGAGAATATGAGGATTGATTATATATGTGAGGTTGAGAGATTGAGAAGCGAGAGTTGAGTGGTTCCTCTTGTAGTTCTCCCTGATACATAGTAGATTTCTCGTATTGTTGCCCGTGGACGTAGGTCGAAATTGGTCGACTGAACCACATCACAGTAGGCGGGGAGACTGAAATCCCCAACAAGCTCTTCGGTGATATCATCCGTTGATCAAGTCTGTATAGAGCTTGAGTAGGGAAACAATGAACTGAATAAGTTGTGAAATGTGCAAATGATGAAATTAGTTAGCCAGAAAGGGCATACCTGTGGCCCCGAGGGGGGCTTGCAGGTCATCCCCTTCTTAGTAGGCGATGAGCCTACATATACCCAACTGAGAGGGGTTGAAGCGTAACTATGACCGAGTCTAGGTAGACAGCTGAATCGGCAGATAGCTAATAGGTGTTGACTGCCTATGCGATGAGTCACTGATCTGATGTGATGGTGATTGAAGAGGTATGGAGAGTGATGAGACATGAAGACTCGTGGCCCTAGCAATGATGATGATGGACAATTGTTGGCGTGGAGTTCGAGGACAAACTGCCTATTGATATGGCTCTGCAAGCTGGACGACAAGTACTTTGTCGGCCTCGCAAGTTGTCGACCCGGCTCTGAGTGCATGAGGGTGGCCGACTCAAGTGATGAGGTCGAGTGAGAGCTTGTCATGACTTTGCCTAACTCGGAAAGGGTCGCATGCCCATGCTACCCGAGTCTCCTCTAGTTGGGGTAAGCTAATCTCATAATGCTAATGTGGGACTTGTGTCGACTCCAAGAGAAGGATTAACACGGTCTAATTATTGACATAAGACAATGCATTATTTTAAAGCTGATGATTGCACTAATACACTATTCTAAGCACACAGATACAATATCAGTATTTTGATTGATACATTATCTAATTTTATTGATATTTATTATACTAATGTTACTTGTGATGATACAATATTTTAATTGTAGCCATATAATATTATGATTGTGTAGATTTAGAATTGATGGCGAACACCTTCTCGTCTGATTTTCTATGGAGGGTCCTTTATATATAGGATTTTTTTTTCCTCACCCCCACTCCACGATATCAATCAGAAGAAAAGGCCACCTTCAGTGAAATCTCACAAGTATAATATTTTGATCGGACGATAAACATTTTACTTTATTTAAGCTTTTAGAAGAAGGATTACTTTTTTCTTCAATCATGTTTCCTTTTAGAGATGGAGTAAAGAGTGTGCAAGCTATCTTTTGGTTTGCTTACGTATAAACAATATTTTATTATTCTTTTAAAGAAATAAATTGAAAAGCTCCGGGTAAGAGCTAATTGGCTAAAAGATTTTACTTCACTTCTCTTATTACCTGATTGGATGAAAGGTAAAGAGGGGGAGGAGAAGAGAAATCTAATTTTAACATTGTTTGGGAGTTTTATTTAGGGGTAGGAGGGAGGGTTGAGCCAAAATCCTACACCCCAAATTAGGGTGTAATGAAGGGGAAGAAGGAAAGGAAGGGGACCTTTTCCCCTTCCTTCCCTTCCCTAAGTCGTCTCCCAAACATACTGTTAAAGAGATAATTGCGGCCCTATTGATTACATAGGGCGCATATCCATGTGTCTCTAAAAATACGTTCTCTCTTTACCAAAACAAATCTGGAAGAAATCTAACATTCACGCGTGTTTGAAAGTGCATGCCCTAATGTCTAAATAAATTGGAAATGAATTAAGAAAAGGATAAGGATCATTTCACCTTATCGTGCATTTTTACAGGACAAATGAATCAAAATTTGTATGGATCACTTTTACCTATTATAGCCTACAAGCATGTCTATATAAATTAAGACTAATATTGGAATGCATAGAGAAGTCTCAAATGAAGGTCTAATGCCCAGTGGAATCCATCTAAGCCAAGGTGGATGGGATTATAATTCTACGTCTCTGTGATCGACCGTTATGATTCAGAGGCATAGAGTTTGATCCCATCTTACCTATCGTTACTCCTCGCCAAAGGCAAATTTTGTTTCCCTATATTTTCTTATTTCTCTATAGGAGAAATTTTTAAAACAGCCCATTTTTCAATTTTATTGTGCAAAATCGACCGTCTCAGAAATTAATTAGCAAAAACAACCGAAAAGGGTCGATTTTGCAATTACGGAACTGCACGGGACTAGTAGTCCCGTGCAGTCCGCCTACCCCACTAACTCCGCTTTCTTTTCGTTCGTTTCGTTCCTTCTTTCCTTCTGCGATCTCGTGACCACTCTCCCCCGAAGAAAAAAAAAACCTGCTGGCCTCGTCGACCCCCGCCGCCGATCACCGCCATTTTCCGTCGCCGCCGATCACCGCCATTTTCCGTCGCCGCCGATCACCGCCATTTTCCGTCGCCGCCGATCACCGCCATTTTCCGTCGCCGCCGATCACCGCCATTTTCCGTCGCCGCCGATCACCGCCATTTTCCGTCGCCGCCGATCACCGCCATTTTCCGTCGCCGCCGATCACCGCCATTTTCCGTCGCCGCCGATCACCGCCATTTTCCGTCGCCGCCGACCCCGACGCTCTCGTGACTGAGCCTTCAACCCCCCCAAACCCTAGCCTTCAACTTCGACTTCGACCCCCTGCCATTTGCAGTCGCCGCCTAACCCTAGCCCTCCGACCTCGTCGCGCATCCGACACCATCGACGCCCACCGAACCCCCATTCTCAGGTGTGTTTTTCTTTTTAATTTTGCTGTTAATTTGGGAGTTAGGGTTTAGTTTAGCAATTATTTACATATGAGAGGGTTTATCAATTATTTTTTAGAGGGATATTCATCAAATTTTGCTAGAATTGGGGGAATAATGTTTTGGCTGTTAATTTTGCTAGAATTGGGTAGGATTAGTTTTTATTTTGTGCAATAGGATGAATAATGTGGTTTGGGGGTTAGGGTTTAGCAATTATTTACAAATGATGAATAATAATTAAGGGTGTAGCCATTATTTGAGATTGATTAAGGTAATAAATTTGATGTTGATTTATTCAGATATTAATAGATTATTTGCATATGATGGACTGTGTATTTTCAGTTTCGATGACGAACTCCATATCCATTATTTGTTTCTTTAATGGGAGCCTCGGCGTCGGAGTGAATAATTTGCCGGTGTATGATGGAGGTTCTCGGAAAATGTTCATGCTATCTAAGTCGTGTAATTTTGATGGAATGACTAGGGAAATACACAGAGTTACTAAAATTAAGAAAGAAGAATATACAATTAGGGTGTTCTTCAACTGTCCGATAAATGAGAGTAGAACTATTGCCGTGGAGATTACCGAAGATGAGGAATTGAATGACATGAACAATTAGTCGAGAAGCAAGCATCAATTGAGTTGTTTATTGAGAAGTATCCGATTCAGGAATTTGCCCAAGTTTCACGACCTCAAGGAGAGTTTTCTCGGATGCTTGACTTAGACAACGAGTCGATTGGTTTTATGACATCTCCAAGTCAAGAGCCATGGTCTCAACCACAACATTTAAGTGAGTATTCTATCGGTGGGACGTCAACTAATATATTTAACGACGCTTCAGGTCATGTTACGGGTTACCCACCAGTCGGAGCAATTATAGAAGATGAAGCAGATGATGATTCAGATCATTTTGAAGAAGATGGCGTGCAAATTGATAGCATGCATGTGGCAGCTGGAATCGATGATGACGCCCGTTGGATGGAGCAATTTAACGTTAACAATGATTATGTGGAAGCTGAAGATCCGTTGCCCGACGAGTTTCATAATGAGGATTGGATAAATACTTCTCAAGCTGGATTTGTTGATGTTGGTCCAAATTTACAACGACCCGAGGACTTCACTTTTAAAAAAGGGGATCTATTCGAGAGCAAGGAGGCACTGATCTTTGCAATCCGAGAATGGTCCATCAAGAATCGGGTCAAATTCAAGCCGGTAAAAACTAATGCAACAAACTACAATGTGAAATGCTTCTTTAACGATAAGAATGAAGTAGAGAACGCAAATGAGCAAGATGAGAGAAATAAAAAATGTCCTTGGTTGCTAAATGCCGCCGTGAGAAAATCATCAAATGGGCAATTTGTAATATGTAGATATTGCAGACTTCATACATGTTGCAACCCGTCGGTGGATGTCGATGATTATTCTGCATCTTCTTTTTATATATGTAAGCTAATTATGCCTGAAGTTAGAGATGAACTTGATCTGAATGCAGGTCAGATATTTCAAAGGGTATATGACATGCGAGGGATTAAGATATCTAAATATAAGGCATATGATGCAAGGCGGAAAGCGTTGTCTAAAATTTTTGGAGATTGGGAAAAATCATATGAATTACTTTCACAGTATCTTGAAGCTATCAAACGAAATAATCTGGGTACTGAATACGAAATATTATCCGAAGAGATTGCACCGGGTATGGAGAGGTTCACTCGCGTGTTTTGGGCATTTGGTCCTGCTATTAAGAGCTTCACTTTTTGTCGTCCGCTATTGAGCATTGATGGTACACATTTATATGGAAAGTACAAAGGCGTGCTTCTTGTAGCGACCGGTGTAGATGCAAATGGCGGGTTATTTCCTCTAGCATTTGCAGTCGTGGAGGTGGAGGATACGTCTAGTTGGAAGTGGTTTTTTGAACTTATATACAAGTGGATTCCAAGTGTCCGTGAGCCAAGAATAATTACCTTTATTTCAGATAGGATGAAAGGAATTATAAGGGCGTTACATGATGGTTTTAGTGCACCACATCACCATCGATATTGTTTAAGGCATATAAGAGATAATTTCAAGAAAAAACACACATCACCATCGATATTGTTTAAGGCATATAAGAGATAATTTCAAGAAAAAACACGGTGAGATTAATTTGTAAAATCTTTTGTGGCAAGCCAAGGCATATAAGAGATAATTTCAAGAAAAAACACGGTGAGATTAATTTGTAAAATCTTTTGTGGCAAGCCAGGTGTGCAACCGACACATTAGTGTATGACCATTGCAGGGAGAAAATCAAGTCTTTGTCATTAAATGCACATAATTGGATTGAAAATAACTTGAAGCCCCAATTCGAGCATCGGTGGGCATTATGTAAGGATGAGGGTGTGCGGTTTTGCATGATGACGACTAATTGCTCCGAGAGCTTTAACGACGTTCTTAAAAGGAGCACGAGCTATGCCAATACAATCTTTGGTTGTGAGAACATTCTATAGACTAAACGCATACTTCAACAAAAGGCGTGGTGATGGCATAGACTGGACAACACGTTACACACCAAAAAATGAGTCCATTTTGCATAGAAGAATTGAGGCAGCAAGATCATGTCAAATTACTGTATTCAACGACAACGAATGGCAGGTACAAGATTGTGACGGTATCTACACCGTTAAACTATTTGATGTTGATTGCACTTGCACATGTAACATACCACAACTCCAAAAAATACCCTGTGCACATGTGCTTGCGGCTTCTTCTAATCAGCCGGGAGGTGCTAGAATTCCCAGAAATCGGTATTGCTCGCCTTGGTATTCAACAGCTCACTATCAAAAGACATATAGTGAGAGTTTTCATCCACCTGATGATAGTCGGTATTGGCCTGAATATAATGGACCACATATAGTTCCACCTCAGTACCGGAGACAAGCAGGTCGACCACGATCTGTGCGAATTAGGGGAACCATGGATCAAGGGCGAGAAGGAGTGGTCAAGCACAAAAAATGCAGTCTTTGCAAACAACCGGGACATACTCGACCTCGTTGTCCATCTAGACACAATAGATAGCAACTAATTGGTAATTTATATCATTTTTTTTATTTTTATATACTTTAATAAAGAAACTGAATTACTATATGATTGATTATTGACATGTGTATAATTGTATGTGCAGGTTTGTACACCATGGATCCTGGGCTGGTTAGTGATGAGGTCTTATATGACCAGGCTCAGCATCGTTCACATATTATATCCTGTACATAATATTGCATTCTTATACTATCATTTGCTGTACAGAGAGGAGGGAGTATCGTTATGGTTGATCATAGCCTCAGCCATAGCCGTTGGCGGTTAGAGGATGAGCATATCATATCAGCTGTGGGACGGGCCGGCTTCTTGACTTTTTCAAAGCTTCGTTGGATAAAGCTCGATTGGCCCCTACTAACCGCGTTGATGGATAGATGGATACCTGAGACCAATACTTTCCACTTCCGGATGGGCGAGGCTACCCTTACTCTACAAGATGTAGCCGTGATACTCGGTCTCCGTATAGATGGTCCGTGCATTACCGGCACTGATAGTGATGTATGGCCTCGAAGATGTGAGGAGTTGTTAGGTGTAGCTCCAGAGCCTATACCTTGAGGAAATATTAAGTTGAAGTGGTTGAGAGAGACCTTCTCAGTACTGTTGCCTGTTGATGCCCCACAAATTTTGGTTGACCAACATGCACGTGCATACATTATGCACATGATTGGTACTATATTATTTCCAGATTCAAGTAAAGATAAAGTACATGCGAGGTATGTGTATTTATAATATGAATCTGTATTTCATTGAATTAGCTTATTTTAATAAATTAGAATATTGTGAATATGCTAGGTGGTTACCACTCCTCAAGGACTTGGACGCATGTGGTACAAAATCGTGGGGTAGTGCCGTTTTGGCGTATTTATATAGAGAGATGTCAAAAGTGACACTCATGCAAAACAGTGAGCTTAAAGGGTGTCTAAGCTTATTGCAAGTATGGGCATGGGAGAGACTTCATTTGAAGCCGAGACTATGCACGCATTTACAATTAGATGGACAAATTCCACTGGGATGCAGGTATTGTATTTTTTATGTAGCGAATATAACTGTAGTTATCATTGTGGTACTAAATGTATGACAAACATTTTTTTGTAGATGGAATGTCGAAAAATGCTATGACGAGACCCCGGCTAGACAATTGGATTTCTACCGGAATGAGCTTGACCGTATGAAGATTTTTTAGGTAATTCTCACCGAAAAACATGCGCTTTTTCTTCTACATACTAAAAACCCAATTCTGATATGCAATTGCATTAAATTATTGTAGATGGAATGGGAGCCCTACACCCAATTTCTACCTCAGCTACCCCCAATATGCACAGAATACCAAGTTGTATGGAGAGCTAGAGTTCCTCTTATATGTTTGGAGATAGTAGAAATGCATGTACCGGACCAAGTGCTTCGACAATATGGTCGTGCACAACATGTTCCGCAATTTGTTGAAAAGATAGAGAGGAAGGCAAAGAAAGGAGGCCAACAAATAAACTGGATGATCGTGCATCAAGCTTTTATACACAGATGGAATGATAGGCATTTTTGTATTGTCAACCAAATTAAACCAACTCCTCGGGAATTAGATTACTACACTTGGTATTGGGGCATAACCCGAAGATGGATACTCCATTCGACCACAATACCGGTTGAGTCGCAAAGAGGATATGTGCCCTGGGGTATAGATGAGAGAGAATTAGTAAGTATTTTCATATTTTGATCTAAGTCCATTTTTATTGGTACTAAATGTGTTGAAAAATTTGCAGGTATCAGCAATAGATGAAGTTCAAACTCTTGCAAATCATGGCTTGGAATTGGCTCGAGCAGGTACGATAAAATTAAATCTCGAATTTATATTCTGTAATATCAAATTTAATATGAAATTTTGTTTTTGAACTTTCTATCGCAAGTAGAAATCCTGAAGCACATGAACATGTATCAATATATCAGGCTATAATGTAGAGGCTTCAACAAGCCTTACACCGAACTCACGAAGATCGTCATGATGGACGGGAGGTATCGCCATTCGTATATACACGACAACAGCGACATAGTCGAGGATGACGCAGAAATGACGATGAAGCTGGACCTTCCCAACGTGTCGACGATGGAGCTGGACCGTCACAACCACAAACGCAACCGGATCACGAACTCGTCGAAGGGCGGTATGGAGGACGACGAAGACAAAGGAGGAGGAGGAGAGTTCTTGGATGTATGTAAACTACAGGTTATATACATTACAAAACTATTTAGGGATGTGATTTTTGGATTTGTAGTCGATAATATCGTGTGATATGTTTGATTTGTTTGATTAGTGGGAGTTTGTGGTGTTATTATGTTGGATTTGTTTGTTAGTGGGAGTTTGTGGTGTGATGTGATTTGTTTGATTTGAAATGAGTATGTGGTGAAATCAGTATGTAATTTGTTAGTGGGAGTTTGTGTGGATGTATGCACAGGGACGACATGAAATGCAGTGGTGAAATAAGTATGTGACTTGTTAGAGGAAGTTTGTGTTGATGTATGCACAGGAAATACTTGAAATGCAGCCAAAAAGTGCAAAAAAATGTGCACAGCAAGTGCACGGGACTGCTAGTCCCGTGCACTTGGTGTTCAGCAGCGGCTACCCTCTCTGCTTAAAAGGTCGGGACTGGCAGTCCCGACTTTTAAGAGAGACGATAGCCGCTGCTGAAAACCAAGTGCACGGGACTAGCAGTCCCGTGCACTTTGTTTCTCAACGAAATGCACGGGACTGCTAGTCCCGTGCACTTCGTAAAATACCCCCCGCTGCAAAACCGACCCTTTTCTTTTGAAAAGGATCGATTTTGCTAATATTTTTTAGTATAGGTCGATTTTGCCCATTAAATTTTAAAAATGGTTGGTTTTAAAATTTTCTCCATATATTAATAATATGTTTAATGCTATGTTGTAACGAGTCAAACTAATTGTGACGCCCATGGGTTCACACAAGGCTGCAGTCCAAGGTGAAACCAAGAATGTCAAACCTGCCATGCACCACACCGTGCAATAACATGTTTAACCATCACAATTAACATCTATCTAGTAGAGTCAACAATAGGTGCAGGTACAAAAGCAAGTAAAAGATAATACAAGAAATAACTGATGAAATGATAGTGATCACATTAATATCCCATCATCCAACATACAGAAATACATAGTCAATGTCTGAATAGATAACTAGAATACTCAACAAGTCTTAAATACAAATATCTGACAAGAAGAAATAAGGCACACAGCCTTTATAACTTCTAGAATAAGACTCTCAAATGTCTAAACAAAAGTCTACTGTGGAACTCCAAAAGAAAATATAACTAAGTAGACAGCTGAAGCTAAAATGCATCGCCATCAACCTGCGACTCTCCGGGCTCCTGGCTCGTTACCTGAAAGGGGGAGGGACAATGAGCGTCAAAGCGCTAGCGAGTAACATCACAACCAACCCCAAGGGAACAGGGCTCGTTGTATAAGAAAATACAGATAATACATAATAGATCTAAAATCATTGATCTTACTAAAGAGGATCTTAGTATTTAGAAATTTACAACGCGAGCATAGGTACGTCGAGCGAAATAATCCAAACAAGGAAACCCTCATGTATATACCTTGTATCTCAAATTGTAAATCCCTAAACACCAAACCCGAGGTTCTAATACAGGAACAATAATAAAAGAAATACAACAAATATCAGAGCATAAATACGGTGCCATGACATGGCCTACACGAGTATCATGTTATTACTTACATGAATATCATGTCATAATCTACATAAGTGTCATATCATAAACTCCTGTGAGAAAGTCATATACAGGGTTAAGAAATATGTCCGATACAGGAACTAGATACTGTGGTTTCCAAACACATGGAATAAGTGGCAAATGTCCAACACGAGGACTGAAATGGATTATAGTCCAACACGAGGACTTCTATGGATTACAGTCCAACACAAGGACTGTGCAATAGTGAAAAGTATATGCGAAAAGATATACATAATCTAAACTCGCACGCATCTCGGTGTACATGTCTAAACTTGTGTCAAAAGT